AGAGTGCAGAGGGAGTACCCCAAGCCCTGCTGTGCCCATGATGCCATCTGCAGCAAACGCCTTGGCCCTGTGACATTCATGCCTCCAGCATTCAGCTGCCCCAGCTCCCAGCTCCAATTACCCACTGGCTGCTGGGGGGAGGGTGGGGAGAGTATGCCATGCCCAACTTGGGGGTGCTCCTCATTCTGCCTTCTTGATCATTTAGATCTCCTGCTTCCTGTTCCTGAGGGGAATTAGGACAGGGGGTCTGAAGTTCTGTGGGCTGGTAAGGAAGGTGCTGAACTCTTGAGCATGGCTATAAGCCCAGTCATCCATCAATGGGCATGGGGGCTGAACATGACCAGGGAGGTAACCCCCCAGTCCTGGATGCCCACCTTAATACCTGACTGGAGCTGGCCTGGGCTGCAGGAGGGGGCGGAGGAGAAGCAGGTGGGTGAGGTTATGGGGGAGTGGGAGGGGAAGCGCTGTCTTTGATGTTAGTACTGGGCATCTGGCCCAAGACGGGCTGCTGTTTATCTCTTTCTGTCTTTGACCTGCAGGGGGGAGTTTCCTGTTATATTCTTTGTGGGGGGGCAGGGAGAATCCTTTGTTTAAGTAACCAGTCTCCCCCTTATGTATACCCCCACCCCATCTCCCATTTTCTAGCCTCTAAGTCCCCATAATAGCTGGGAGATGAGATTCTGTCCTTAAGCTCCAGAATCCCATCTCCTAGGGGACCCAGGGAGCGCCCACCCAAGGGTGTTGTTGCCTCAATCCCTTCCTGCCCTCCATGCCTGTTAAGCTGTGCCCAAGTCTCTGTGTACTTCTGTGCCACATCACACCTGCCAAATTGTACCTGCCTTCCTGCCTTCACTCCCCTTTCCTGGCACTAGGATAACAGATTTGGGTGGGGCAGCCCTGTTCCCTCTATACCTGAGAATAGAAGAGAAGGGGGTCTGGGAAAGGAAACAGAGGTTGCAGCCCTAGAGAAGCATCTGACCCTTAATGTGGGGTGTGTGCTGCTGCTGCAGCGCTGCAGTGGCCACAGACTCCCACAGACAGTTGGGTTGGTGGCTGCCCGTGGGAGCCCACCTTGACACAGGGGCAGCGTCTGCACATGCATACCTGTCTGCCTGCGCGTGCCATGTGTGTTTGGGCTACAGTGGCTGCCCTTAGTATTGCCCCTTCTTGGCCCTGGTGGTGTGGAGTCAGGGCATCCATGCTGGATGATTAGGAGTGGGTGGTGGGGGAGGGATCTCCCCCAACCCTAGCAGCAAGCAGAGGGGAAGGGGAGAGGGAGGTGTGAACCTACCCACAGCACTATTAATAGCCCACATGCCAGGCCACCAAGAACCAGCTGTCACCGTGGAAACCATTCCTACTCCCCTTCCCCCAGCCTCCATGGGGAGGGACTTAGGCGGGGCACAAAGCACCCCCCACCCATCTTTCTTTGTTACCTTTCTCCCTTTGTCTCCCTTCCTTCATCTGTCTCTCCTCCCCTGATCTGTCCTCTTTCCCACCTCACCCCTTCTCTYCCACCCTCTTCCCATCCTTCCCTTTTCTTCTTCCCCTTTACTACCTTGACATCCCTAGCTCTACCTTCCCATCCCTGTGCTGTCTCTTTGTTCTCTCCCCTTCCCATTTTTCTTCCCCTCTTTCCCTATCACCTCTTTTGCCCCCCCTCCTCTCTCTCCCCTTTTCTCAGCCACCCCCCTTTCCTGTGTGTGTGTCTGTGTGCTTGTCAAGAARGAGGGCAGGGCTGTCTTCAGAACATGAAGGGCAAAGTTCAGGGGCCCCAGAAAGGTGGGGCCAAAGCCAAGCTCAGAGTAAGAGCCACCGGGTGGCAGCATGGTGTGCAGTGTTTGAAGCTAGATCCTAGGGGCAGACAGTTCCTGCTGTCAGCCCCAGAAGTCCTCTGGGGGTGTCCCTCAGATCCACAGGATTGCGGAGTGGGACTGATAGCAGTGGGAACCTGGCATGGTGCCCATGGATGCCGCATTGGCTTCTCATCCCTGTACCCCCATCACAGAAGCACTTAAGCTTAATGAAATGCTTCCCCCTCTGCGGGCACCTTGCCCACGCTGCCACGAGGCAGCTCTTATCTGACAAAGAGGGAGTGGGCAGCCAGGCCAGCCGACAGGTGGGTCTTACTGTCCTGCTGTCCAGCAGACAGCAGTCTCAGCGTCCGTAGCTCCACCCTCTCGGCTTCCTTGAGACTGAGCCTATGCCTCTGCAAAGGATGTTCCAGGAAGGAGCTTAGGAATATTAAGCTGGACCCCTGRAGGAGGGGAAAGGGGCTGCCCTTCAGGGAGGGTATCCCTGTCCCAGCCCCCTTCCCCGCTGACCTCTTTCTGCCCCAACTAAACAGGCTCACATGGTTTGTGCCTCCTTACATTCTAGGCCTTCTTCATGGGCTCTGTGTTTCCTCAGAGGCCCAGATTTGTCACTGAAGAGATATCAAGGAGTCCCCATGGATTCTAGACTCCTAGTAGGTGCCAGGCAAGAGTGCCCTAGGCAATAAGGGCAGCACCTTGGTCTTCTGCCCATTGCCAGGGCCTAACTATAGTCTGAGCAGCACTGAGTGGCACCAGGGCACAGCTCTGCACAGAGGTGGGGCAGAAAAGGACCCTGCCCCTCCCCCAGTAGGCACGTGCAAGCCCTTGGCAGTGCCCAGACACATTTGGAGTTAAAGCTGGGCTGGGGAGGGGGAAGGGGAAATAAACAGGGTGGCTTAGGTTGGCATTGCCCCAGGTCAGCCCTGAAGCAACTGGTAGTGGTGGGGTGTGGGGGAGGGGGGTCCTCCAGAGCTAAAGCCTGGGGCAGGAGCTGCCTGTGCCCTGTGGCTGTTGCTGGGGTTCCCTGCCCAGTTTGACTGATAGCTGCTAATGCCCATTCCTATGTGGACCTCTTTGCCTGCCCTGAGGGCCTGCTCCCCAGGGCTGCCCCTCTCTTAGCTTGCCCACTCCTGGGCCTGCCTCCTCCCCTCCCTGGGGGCACTTGGGCCTCCGGCTGGCGAGTGGATTTTTCCAGCTTCTGTAAACAAGAGGTGGCAGTGTGCCAGGCGGGCAGGAGACAGGCGGGGGCAGCACCGCAGCCAGGGTGTGCCAAGCACCGAGGCACAGCCTGGGGGGAGACAGGGAGACACAGAGAGAGAGAGAGAGAGAGAGAGAGAGAGAGAGAGAGAGATATTTAGAGGCAGACAGACAAAATGAAGCCTCTGGGCTCAGATAGAAGTGGGAATAGAATAGCCTCTATTGTCCAACCCAACCCCCACAGCTTTTCTCGCCCCCTACCCTTCTCTGTTCTGGCTGAGAGTAGCAGGCCTCAGTGCCCAGCCCCTGGGCATCCCCACCCACTCCTTCTCCTCCCCCCAACCTCCACCCCTAAGGGCTGGCTACGCCATTATAAATTTATAACAGGAATTTCTCCACAAGCCAAGAAAAACTTGACCTACTTTCTTGACGGCTCCCTGGGCTAAAGCTCCCTGCTTCCCCCCACCACCCCCCAGTCTCCTGTCCAGCCCCGACTGCCCAGTCCTGGCCTGAGGGGGGGATGTCAGAAGCAAAATGAGCCACTTTTCTGTTCTCCTTCCACACTCCCCACCCCAGGGGCTGTCTGGGTGCAGAGGCCCTGCTCAATGCCTTGACTTATCTCTGCCCCCTCCTCTTACCCTGGCTCCTTATCAGTTCCGGGGGTGGGGCCAGGGGGCCCAGGGCAAGGTATCTGGTGCAGCAGCCATGTGATGGAGGTTGTACTTGGGGAGCTGTACCCTTTGTCCCCCTCCCTCCCATAGGCCTGCACCTGCCACAGATCTGTAGCCCAGAGCCAGAGGTACAGTACAGAGGGATGGTGGGCCTGGAATGGCACTGCTGTGGCTCCAGGTATCAGACCAAGGCTAGCATGAGAGCCAGGCTGTGAGGCTATAATTCCTGAGCCACCTGCTTCCTCGCTATATGTACTCAGAGTAAATAGTCAAGTTTTCTAAGACTCAGTTTCCTCATCTGTAAAGTTCTGAAGCCCACTTGAGAAGGCACATATTATCCACTCAGTCAACACATATTAGTGTCCTTTCCTATCCTTGTTGATAGCAGCTCAACCAAACCAAGAAGTTTGGCCCTTTCTGGGTGCAGTGGCATATGCCTGTAATCCTGGCTATTTGGGAAGCTGAGGCAGGAGGATCACAAGTTTCAGGCCAGCCTCAGCAACCTAGCAAGCCCCTGTCTCAAAATAAAAAGGACTGGGGATGTAGTTCAGTGGTAAAGCGCCCCTGGGTTCAATTCCCAATAAAAAGAAAATTAATAAATAAAGTCTGGTCCTCAAAATGGACAGTGGGATTTGGGACCTTGTTTGGAGGTCTGGAATCCTTGAGGGGCCAGAGTTATGGGGTTCTTTCTAGGTCAGCAGCAGGGGAGGTCAGCACCCAGTTTCTTTCAATGTCTCTGTTTGTTAAGGGACTAAGGTGAGCATTCAGGATCCCTGCATGCTGCCCCTCCCCCGGGCCTTTGTGGGCACCCTTATGCCTKTGCTGGAATCTGCTCATCTCTGGTCCCCTCTTACAACAAAGATACTGATGGATCTTAGGAAAACTTGGATGGGGGTGGTAATAATAACTAAAGTTTAATTAATAGAGAGTTCTTAAGGACCTTTCATTTGTTTGAATGGGGCTGGGGACGTAGCTCAGTTGGTAGAGTGGTAGAGTGCTTGCCTCGCATGCACAAGGCCCTGGGTTCAATCCCCAGAATCATCAAAAAAAAAAAAATCTGCTACCCATGTAGGTAATCAAGATGAGCTCATTCTTTTCCTCCATATCTTTCCATGTCTGGGGCTTGGGATATGGCTCTCCAGTCTTCACTGCTGTGCTGTGATCCGAGGTCATTCTGGTCTTGTCCCTGCACCTGCCCTCCATGCCCACTGCCATCTTATTATGAGCCCCAGAAGCCCCAAATATTGCCACCAAAAGAAACCTACCCACCTCCTGCCAGTGGTGCCTTCTTACCCCTGCCTTTCTCTTCTCTCCACAGGGATCTCTGGACAGGACGAGACTCTGAAGCTACTCCCCCAGCCCCTAGCCCAGGATCCCCCATAAACCCTGCTTACCCCCCAGCTATCCTACCTGCCATTCCCTGGCCCCTCCCACCGCCCGCCCCACTTGGGGTGCAGGGCATGGTGTGAAAGGCCAAGTGCTGAGGCGGGTACCATGGGTGCTGTGCCCTAGGGCCTGGGTGGTAGTGGGTGGGTGGCCTGTGGGTGTGCCGGGGGGGGGGCATTGTGCCCACCCCAGTCTCTTGGCGTGCTGGAGGGCATCCTGGATGGAATTGAAGTGAATGGAACAGAAGCCAAGCAAGGTGGAGTGTGGGTCAGACCCAGAGGAGAACAGGTAATGGGTCCAACAACCTAGTAGTTCCCACTCCTAGGCAGCAGGGCCTGGTCAAAAGAAAACTGAGCTCCCTTTGCAGCACTACCTTTTAAGTACCTCAGGAGATGGGTGTGAGGCCAGCAACACTGATGCCTACTACCTTTATCCAGGAGATGAGGGATGTTTAGATGCCACAGGGAATTAGACATTTGGATTGAGAGGTGCCCATTTTGAAGGGCGAAGTGATTTAGAACAGAATAATCATAGGCAGCAGGCATATGGCCCCTTCCTGGACTCTGCTGAACAGTCTCTAGCGTCTCCAATGTTGCTGCCCTCATCTGGGCATGTGTGATCCAAAAGGCATTACCATTATCTTCCTCTCCTTATCAGCCCTTTCACCATCTGACCCCAAGCAGTTATGTTGTCCATAAGCCATACTGCACATAACTTGACATTTCAGGGCACAGGCACCACTAACTATTGGTCATAACCCACGCTTGAGTTTGGAATCTATTGGGAGCCCCACAAGCTTTTCCTTGTTCATGGTTAAGGGTGGGCACTGCTATGGAGGTCCTCCCAGGAATTGAAAGTGCAAGCCAACCGTAAAGATTTTGTTTACAGGTGGGTGAGGAGTCAGCCCTGCCACATAACTAGGGATGGGTTACCTATGATATGCACTACCCTTGAGCACCCTAGAGGGTCTTTTCCCCTCCCATCAATTCCAAGTGGCACAGAGCTCTGTCCCAGTTGGCATGTTGTCCCAGGAGCTGGGTACAGCTTGTGCCTATGGCTAGGGAAAGAGTGGGGGTGGGGGTACTCTGGGGAGCAGTGTGGCTGGCTGTTGCCTAGGAGATCAGGTCCTGAGCCAGAAGGCCAGAGGCCTGGCCAGGCAAAGCCCTAGGGCTCAAAACTGGTTCCCTGAAGAAGGAGAGGAAATGGATGGGGATTTGCAATTGTTTAGGCAGGGTGCTGGAGTAACCCCCCTCCCTGAAAGGCTGACTTCTGGCAAAGATATAAGAAGGAAAGTCTGTCTGTCTTGTCATTGTATATCTGTCATTTGTAGCTCCTGCCCAGACTTATGTGGGTTTGGGAGAATCTGCCCTGAGAGGTTGTGCAAAGGCAGGAATGCAAGTTCCCAGTTCCCCAGACTGCAGCCCCTCCCCCATGTTCCCGCGCCACCTTGTGACTGTCCCTGGGACGGCAATTATGAGTCTGGTAATTGCTGAAGCCAGTCAGTCACTCCACTGGGGCCTAGGTGGCCGAGTTCCTCTGCACTTACTCCTCTGGAAGGCGGGAGGAAGGTCTGACCCTCCAGCCCTGTAGGAACCAGACAAGGGTAATCCCCAGGGGGCGTGGAGCACTGGGCTGTCTGTGACTGTGACCCTGGCCAAGGTCACTGTGTCAGTGTGTTGGGAGCTGCATCCGGCTCCAGGAGGAGGGGCCGTGCAACGTGCCACATGCAGGGTGGGTGTGGAAGGTTATACAATCCTTGCATGCGTGTAGAGGGCTTATGTAACCTGCATGCACTGAGGTTATGTAACATGTATGTGGAGAACCCAGCCACATATATGTGAAATGACTGAGTTGCTAATAATACCTTGCATGAAGGGGCTCAGGGTCCTTGTCCTGACTCTGACTTCATTGCACAGTGTCATCAGGCACAAGTGTCACCGTTTGCTGCTGTGTTAAATGGAGGCTAGGAACAGGGTGACTCTAGCATTTTCAATCATTATGGATTATTTAGCATGTGTGCATGACCTGGAAATCAAACAGTGCATTCACACTGGGAGAGGGGTAGTAATATTAGGTGGCTGTCCAGAGGCATATCCTAGAAGTCACATAACACACTTGAGAATGCCCTGAAAGTTGCACTGATATGTAGACCCTTATTTCCATCCTTGGGTTTATACTGAAGGTTGTATTGTTATTCATATGCACAGGTGTCCTGTTGCATGTATGTGTTCAAAATGATATGTAGCTTTAAGAATATTCTGATGATTCTTTTTGCATATTTATCATCTGCTGAAGGCTTAAATATGTGGATATCCTGTGTATTATGAGCGTTTAAAATCTTTAGTGTGTGTGTGGGGGGGTATGTGTGTGTGTGTGTATGTATGTATATATATATATATATATATACACACACACACATATATACACATAGAGAGAGAGTGAGTGTGTGTGTGTGTGTGTGTTGGGGTCCTAAAACATGCTTTTGCCCTAGTCAAGCCCCTTATCTTTCCCCTGCAGCTACCAGATAGCTGGATCCTTCTCTAAGTTTTGTCAGCTGATGTTGGGGGTGGGTAGGATGAGGACCTAAGATGGAGGAGTTGGGCCTGGAAGATCGAATGAGGCTCTTGGATAAGAAAGGGCTATCCAAAGACTGCTCTGTGATTCTACTCACTTTGCCCCCATCCAGTGCCAGGTCACCAGATGGAAAGCGAAAAAGAAAGAACGGCCAATGTTCCCTGAAAACCAGCATGTCAGGTGAGCCTGGCTGCATGTACCCCTTCTCTGTACTCCTACCCCATCAGACCATATGGGGCCCTCTCTGGGCCTAGGTTCCCTTCTAACACCTTCTATGTCCCCTGGGAGAGCCTCCTACAGGGCTTGGGATGGATTTACCTGGGGGTGAGAGTGGTGATATGGGACATGCTCCAGCCCTTGAGGAGGGATTAGGACAAGGAGGGCCTCTTCCTTTCTCCCATGATCTCCTCACATTACACCTCCCACCAGAATCGGAGCTTGAGATGGAGGATGGAAGGTCTGTATTCTCCTGAAATGAGCTGCTCCTGTTTTTGTTTCTCTCTCTGCCATCCTCTGTGCCTTAGATATAGCAAAATGTACCCATGATGTGCACACCTGTAGTCCCAGCTACTTGGGAGGCTGAGGCAGGAGGATCACTTGAGCCCAGATCAGCCTGGGCAATGTAGTGAGACCTCATCTAAAAAAAAAAACAAAAAAAAGGAAAGAAAGAAAAAAAATGAAGGGGGGGAACCTTAAATGGGCAGTTAAAAGAACTGACATCTGGTATATTTGTAGAAAAAGGGATGGACAAAATTAGCTCCCATGTTATCTCCAGGATTCTACCTTTCTACTTGGAGACAGAGATCCCTTCAGCAAGGCCGGGCTAGGAGATGGGCCAGAAAASAAAAGTTGGGGCTGGGGAAAAGTATAGGAACCTCTCTGCTGGGCTCCTCGCCATGCCTGCTGCCTCCATCCTTTCCTCCCTCCCAGGGTATATCCCTAGTTACCTGGACAAAGACGAGCAGTGTGTCGTGTGTGGGGACAAGGCAACCGGTTATCATTACCGCTGTATCACTTGTGAGGGCTGCAAGGTATGGACCAGCCATCTCCTGCCCCTCCCCCACCACCTGAGCCCCCTTCTCATTCCCTTTGAGTCCCTCAGCACCTGGCATGACAGACAAAAGCTCTGTAAACATCTAACCTAAAGCCCACCTGTGATATCATCATTTTTCTTCTCTTAAACATTCATTTATTCACTCATTCATAATCCCTGTTCTACCACTCACAGGTTAATGGCCTAACCTTCCTGAGCCTCAGTTTCTTCATCTATTCCATGGAGATAATCATACTACCTGTTTCATAGRGATGTTGGTAGAATTAGATGATTCACATGAAGTGTGTAAAACAGTGCTTCTTCTTATCCATAAGAAGCCCTGGATAAATGTCAGCTGTTACCCATCCATGCAGTTATTAGGAGTGAGGAGTGCAGACTATGCCCTGCCCACAGCCTACAAGAGAGGAGCAGATCTGAAACAGACATTGGTGTTTTTCAAAATGTGGTTCATGGACCACCTGGAGTACTAGCTAAAATGCAGGTTCCAAGGCCACATTGCCACCCCTTCTTGGTCAGAACCTTTTTGTGCTGGAGCTCAGGGATTCTGACTATAAACAGGCTTCCCAGGTGCTTCCAATGCACCTGAAAGGGTGAGAACAAGTGCTGGGGGGTATCGTGGGTGCACACAGGAGATGAGAACAGCAAGTTCTCCYTAGGCAGAGGGGCAAGGTCATAGGCTTGGGGAGGCTTAATTAGATTTCACTTTGGTTGTTTCAACCAGCATGGTTTTTCCAGGATCACCACCTTCTGCAAATGTCAGACTTTCCAAGAAACAGATCAATTAAAAATCTGTGAAAACTTGGGCTAGGGATATAGCTCAATTGGTAGAGTGCTTGCCTTGCATGCACAGGCCCTGGGTTCAATCTCCAGCACCACACACACACACACACACACAAAAAAAATGTGAAAACTTAAAAGCTACTCACTTTCTTAGTGTCAACCAAATCTGGTGGTCCAGGGATTTAAGTTCCAAAGCAGTGCTCGTAGTGTAGCATAGAGCAAGACATCTGGGTCCCAGGGAACATTCCCCCAAAGACAGAAATGTCTTGGCTCCTTTCCTAGARAGTTTGATTTTGTAGGTGTGGAATGAGAACCAGGAATCTTGTGTTTTTTGTCATTGCACTAGATGATTTTAATGTACCCCAGAATCTAGGATCTCAGACCTTGATGTCCTCTGTCCTTTACCTGGGGCTGAGTTCTGGCTCTGCTATCTAGTTAGCCATATCACTTTGGGCAAATTGCTCAATCTCTCCAAGCCTCAGTTTCCTAGTGTGCAAAATGGAAACAATGACARTTTCTACCTTGTAGGATTGTCATCAGGGTTAAATGTAATAATGCAGAAAAAAAGGTATATCTTTACATAGTAAGCATTCAGTTCAAGTCCTAGCTATTTTTATTGCCACCGCCTTGATTCTTGAGATTTTTCCTTTAAAGCAAAGACTAATCCTGATACATGTATTTTTTTTTTCCAAGCTGATAGAGTTCATATCCAGTGTTTTTTCATGACTTTCACTTTTCCTATTTCATGAGTTCCACCTGCATGGGCAACAAGCAACATACTGTATATGAGAATGAGTCAATGTCGGGTTAACAAGATGGAAAATAAGATATCAATTGGACTTCCAAAGCTGCTATTCCTTCAGGTTTCACAGCTTCTCACACCATCCCAGACCCAGTGCTCACCAATGCAGCCGTCATTCTTACCTCTGCCATTCCCAGATACTCCCCACTTCTCTGCAGCCTGGGGGCTGTATTTCTCAGGTCATTGTGCCTGCGGTGTCAGGAGGATGCCAGGTTCCTTCACTGATCTTAACTCTCTCACCAACCCCCAGTGAGCTGTGTGGTTGGCCCAGGAAGGGGAAGTCATGATTAGAACCTGCTTAATCTCCCCCTATCCCAGGGCTTCTTTCGCCGCACAATCCAGAAGAACCTTCATCCCACCTATTCCTGCAAATATGACAGCTGCTGTGTCATCGACAAGATCACCCGCAATCAGTGCCAGTTGTGCCGCTTCAAGAAGTGCATTGCCGTGGGCATGGCTATGGACTGTAAGGGGCACGGGCCGGGGGAGTTGAGCCACTCAGCTGGGCTAGGGGTGATTCAGGGATGGCATCTCCCTTCMATTGTACCCTTGGGGCAGAGTCACAGTTCAACCCAGGTCAGGTTGGTGGTGGACTGTTCAGAGTCTTGGTCCCTGATACCCTTATCATAAGGGGAAAGGGAACAGGATTCTCTATGGGTCTTACACATGGGCCCCAGTGCCCACCTGCCTTTCACTACTTATGGGACTTAGAGAGGGCATTGTTGGGTAAAATGAACTCCTGAGAACTCTCCTAGCACTGTGATCCTGACCCCCAGGAAAAACCTCCTTTCTGGGTAAGGGGATATTTTTATTGGCTGGGGACTGGGAGGCAGGATCATCTAGAAACTGTTATCACCATAACCTATTGGGCCATAACATAATACTACCCTGGATCTTTCCAAATTGGTGTTGACATTGTCCCCCTTATTGTGCCACCCAACTCCTAGGTGATTTGGGTGGTYACTTAACCTCTCTGACCCTTGGTTTTGCCCAACCTCTGCACTAGAAGAATAGCTTCTGAGAGGACTGTGGATAGGGGAGGGAGAGTGCCCTGCAAGGAGTCTCTTGTCTCTGTTAACAGTGGTTCTAGATGACTCGAAGCGAGTGGCCAAGCGCAAGCTGATTGAGCAGAATCGGGAGCGGCGACGAAAAGAAGAGATGATCCGATCTCTGCAGCAGCGACCAGAGCCCACTCCCGAAGAGTGGGATCTGATCCATGTTGCCACAGAAGCCCATCGCAGCACCAATGCCCAGGGCAGCCATTGGAAGCAGAGGCGGAAATTCCTGGTAAGGGGCACCAGGAGAGCAGCAACCAGTTGGCAGGAGAGGAGAGTGGCCTCTGAGGCTTGCCTCCTATGGAAAGCCTCCTCAGTGTAATCCAGCCCAGAGCTGATACTCTCCACACCTTGGTGGTCCTGATTTTGCACATCATATGCAAAATCACTGCTCTCTGGTCCTACCTATTTCCTAAGATGGGGTGCTCTATGAGGACAGGGCTTGTTTTACTCATCAAATTTTTAGTGCAGAGGTGACCTCTTCTCGCTCTAGGTGTTGTGTTAGGCCYTGGCAAAACTGAGTGACAATGGATGATTATTTTTTTTTTCAGAAGATGGACAAGTGTCTTTATGTGGAGGGGGGAGACCAAAAACTGGATCCTGGTTCCTGATAAGAGTGTGCAATGGGGTGGAACAGTGCACTATTAAAAGCATGTGCTCAGCCAGGCACAGTGGCCCACGCCTGTAATTCCAGGGGCTCAGGAGGCTGAGACAGGGGGATTGCAAGTTCAAAGCCAGCCTCAGCAATGGCGAGGCACTTAGCAACTCCATGAGACCCTGTCTCTAAATAAAATACAAAAAAGGGCTGGGGGATGTGGCTCAGTGGTTGAGTGCCCCTGAGTTCAATCCCCAATATCCTCCCTACCCACACACACACAAAAAAAAAATTGTGCTCTAATACCAAGCAGATGTTTATCAAGATGTAGTCATATGACTTTGGCCCTAATACTTAACTACACTAGGCCTCAGTTTCCTGCTCTGTGAAATGGTGATAATTTTATCTTCCTCAGAGTTGTGGCGAGGATTAAATAAGATATGTAGAACATGTAGTCTAACGCTTGGTCAGTCATTACAACTGGGATTATTATTACATTACTGCTGCTACCATTCTTACCATTGTTATTATTGGCAGACTTGGAGTGCTCTCTAGGGTTTATCCTCTGCCCCAAAACCTGGGAGATGGGACACAGCTAGTCCTATCTGGCCCCTCTTCCCCAGGCTGCCTTGGAGCTCCCCCTGGTGGGCAGGGAGCCTCAGTGAGAGGTTGAAAGGGGTCTGCAGCCTCAGATGACCCCTATCTCTTCCTCTAGCCGGATGACATTGGCCAGTCACCCATCGTCTCCATGCCTGATGGAGACAAGGTAGACCTAGAGGCCTTCAGCGAGTTTACCAAGATCATCACCCCGGCCATCACCCGTGTGGTGGACTTTGCCAAAAAACTGCCCATGTTCTCCGAGGTGAGTGGCAGATGGGAAGAGAGACATGGTGCCAGGTTGGAGGGCACCATGCTCCCCAGGGCACTGCATGCTCCTCTGAGGTTCTCTGGACAGGGAGTCCTATAACTAACATACAACCATCGCTAACTCCTTGTGTCTACCTCCCCAGCCCTTCTCCCCTCAAGTCTTCGTGGCCACCCACCTCCAAGCAGCCTAAGCGTTCTCCTCATTGTGGGCAGGAAACAGGCTGCTCTCCTAGCTGCTGGACTTTGGCCAAGTTAACTAAATCTCCTGTACCTCAGTTTTCTTATCTGCGGTGGGCTGGGGTGAATAACAGGACCTCCCTCAGAGGCCTAACTGTGAAGTTTAAGTAAAAATAGGATAGACATGGTTCCACATCAGGTCAACTGTGGGAGAGACTGGAGCATGGGGAGGGCCGTGCTGAGTGGTCCTGTGACCCTGCCGCCCCACAGCTGCCTTGTGAAGACCAGATCATCCTCCTGAAGGGGTGCTGCATGGAGATCATGTCCCTGCGGGCTGCTGTCCGCTATGACCCCGAGAGCGACACCCTGACGCTGAGCGGGGAGATGGCCGTCAAGCGGGAGCAGCTCAAGAATGGCGGCCTGGGAGTGGTCTCCGACGCCATCTTTGAACTGGGCAAGTCACTCTCTGCCTTTAACCTGGATGACACGGAAGTGGCTCTGCTGCAGGCTGTGCTGCTAATGTCAACAGGTACCTGCTGGTGGGCTGGGAGGGCCCAGGAATTGACAGGGACCCCAGAGCTCGGCTGAACCCTGGGCTTGTTGGCTCTCCTTTTTTCTTAATCTTAAAAACTCTGTACCCAAATCTCTCTCTCTGACCCATTCCCTCTTCTGCAGGCTACCTGTCTATCACCCAGGCTGCCCTCTGTCTTTTCTTTTCTTTTTTTTTTTTTTTTTAGTTGTAGATGGACATATATCTTTATTTTTACTTATTTTTGTGTGGTGCTGAGGATTGAACCTAGTGCCTCACACTTGTGAGACAAGCATTCTACCACTGAGCTACAACCCAAGCCCTGCGCTCTGTCTCTTATTCTCTGTTCTGTCACCCACCCCATCTTTGGTCCCCAGGCCTATCACTTGTTCCCCAGTCCCTGTTCTGTTCCTTATCATGCCTTTGCCCTGTTCTTTCTCTCTGCCCCCCATCCTCTGTCTCTAATATATTCCTTTGTTCCTTACCTTCCACACTCTCTTCCCATCCACCTTCTGTCCACCATTCCTTCTATCTCTAAGTCCTACCTCTTATCCCCCAAACCCTTTTCTTCCCTCACTACCACCCCACCGCTCTGCCCACCAACGCTTTTCTGTCCCCTGGTCTTCCCCTCTCTCCAAACTTTCCTCTTGTCCCAGGCCCCCCTCCCCATTCCCCTGTCTTCCTTATGTATTGCTCCATGCCTCCTGCCTGGCGGCTGGTCCTCACATCTCCTTCAGTGCAGTTTTCTTCTCTGGCTCTCTCCTAACCCCTCTGCTCATATCCTCCCCCATGTTTCACCTATGTCTCTCTCAGACCCTCACCACACACCTGTCATGCCCTTTCTTCTTTGCAGACCGCTCGGGCCTGCTGTGTGTGGACAAGATCGAGAAGAGTCAGGAGGCATACCTGCTGGCGTTCGAGCACTACGTCAACCACCGCAAACACAACATTCCGCACTTCTGGCCCAAGCTGCTGATGAAGGTGACTGACCTCCGCATGATCGGGGCCTGCCACGCCAGCCGCTTCCTCCACATGAAAGTCGAGTGCCCCACCGAACTCTTTCCCCCACTCTTCCTCGAGGTCTTTGAGGATCAGGAAGTCTAAAGCCTCAGGCGGCCAGAGGGTGTGCGGAGCTGGTGGGGAGGAGCCTGGAGAGAAGGGGCAGAGCTGGGGGCTGAGGGAGATCCCCCCCCACACCTCTTCTCTCCTTCCTCTCATCCTTGGATAGATGCAGCTCCCACACACCCCTGCACTGCCCAGGTCCCCCTCAGAACCTCCAGCCCTGAGACAGGGCAAACAAATGAACTTGCTATGAAAGGACAGTATGGGAGGCTGGGACCGTGTCCTGCAGTTCCCAGGGGCCCCGTCCCCTAAGAAAGTAGGGGAAGAGAACTAAGAGGGACAAGCCATCTTGACTGTAGGGATAAGAGGAATGTGGGATGGGKGAAGATGCCCTCACTCACACCCTACACAGACAAGAGATTCCCCCACCCAGTTCCTTGGCCTAGGTTTCCCCTCCAGGCTAAGGGCCTCTACTTTCCCAGATGCCTGGGTGCAAAAAAACGGCTTGGCTTGGATCCTCCCCTGGAGGTTAAAAAATGATAGTCATCCTAACTGCACTTTGGAAACCAAGCAAGGGGAAAAGTTAAATGAAGAAAAACTAGACAGAGAGAAAAAGACAAAAAAAGAGAGAGAGAGCGATAGAGAGAGAGAGAGAGAGATATTAAGTTATTAACTAAGGCTGGCCAGAGGGGAAGGATCCCCCCCTTTCCCATCCCCATGCACTTTGAGAGCTGCCCTTCCTCCCCCCAGATCAGAGAGAACCCCCCCCCCCAATTCCCCAGAGTAGGGCTGCCGATCAGAGCTGTGAGTTGACACAACAGGGTCCTGGCCTCCCCCTTGCCTTGCCCCTCCCTCTGTGCCCCTTTGGCACCCCCACCCCAGTACTTTCTCTGCTCTCTGCCACTCGTGCCCGCTGAGTTCCATCTACCTCTCACGCTGGATGCCAGCTGGCCCCTCACCAGCCTGCCCTACTGCCCACACAGCTCCCCTTTCAAGTGCCCAGCCCCAGGGGCCTCTCCCTATCCCCMCTCCTTCTGCACCTTGCCACCCACACAGGAAAAAACTGTGGCCCAGGCCCCTTCCCTCCTCATATCCTGCAGTATTAGCTAAATCCAGATGCTGCGTGGGGGGTGGGGGGGTTGTGTGTGAGCGTCTCCCAGGCCTCCACCCCTGTAGGACTCTTTCCCTGTTTCCCTGTCTTCTGGGCTCTCTCTCTGATCTCTGCCCTCCTTCCCCACCCCCACTCAATGCACTGGGGCAGGCGAGCAGGCATATAATGGGGTTGTTTCCATTGATGGCACTTGGTTGGGGCCCCAGGGGAGGAGGCAATTGGTGCTCCTCCTATTTTCTTTGAAGCTCTTCAGGCTGGCCACCCCTTTGCCCCTGGGACCCCTTTCCCCTCTTCTTTTCTCTATTCAGGGACTTTGGCTTGAGCCATCTCCCACCCTCCTGGTGAGGAGTGCTCTGTTGGTCTGCACTTGGGTGAGCTGCCCTCCTCTTCCTCCTGCCTTTGGCAATGCCCACTCCTCAGGGGAGAGAGGGGGGAGGAGGTGGCCCTCCCACAGGTGGGAAGGAAGAGATGAGGGAGACCAGAGCAGACCAGAGAGCCCTGGGTTCAAGGCTGCATGTCGGCAGGGATGGATGGGTGGACATAGATGCCCCCGGAAGCCATGGGGAATAGGGCAGGGGGCAGGGGAGGGGTGCCAGGGCTTCCTGCGCTTTGCACTATTGGGGCACAAATGTCTTAAGTAGTGGGGAACCTGCCACCCCACTCTGACCCTCAGCCTGCCACAGCCCCCTACACACACACACACACACACACACACACACACACAAAGGCAGTGCTCCACTGTCTGCCAGGGCAGTGTCCTTCCCCACTCTTCAGGTGTTTCCTCCAGGTAGACTGCCTGGAAGAGCACATTGTCACCTGTCTGAACGCCTGCCCCAATCCTCTGGGCCCCCATGCTGCCCATGCTGTCTTTGTCTCTATCCTCTCTCTCTCTCTCTCTCTCCTGGGGTACTGATTCCTGGATTCCTCCAGTCCCATGGGGAAGCCCTCTCATACCTTCCTCCCACACCTGGGGGCCTAGTAGAGTTCCTGACCTGTCTGCTGTCTCCCCACTTCCTCCAGCCCCACCCCTGTCTTTCTATCCCCTTTCTCAACCATGGACATGGTGGCCTCTTACATGCACATGGGAATCCCCCCACCCTTCTCAATCATGTGAGCTGTGATCCCCCACCCGCTGGCCCTTCCCCTTCCCCTCAGTGATGTGGAGTGTATGTGTGTGTGAATGTGTGAGTGAGTACACGTGATGGGGGAGGAGCCAGGGAGACTCAGGAGTGCCACGCACCTGCTCTAGAGAGGCAGCTGTCCCAGTCCCTGCTGAGGAAGTGGGGGACAGGGCCCTCTCCTGGGGGCCATTGGTGCTAATGAGGGGGAATGGCCTTGACGTGGGTGCTTAGCATGCCTCCTCCAGTGTTGGCCCGGGGCACTAGGGCAGGCTGGGTGGGGCAGCAGGTGCAGTATTGGTGGGAGGATGGGTTGCTGGGAATAGGTTGAGGGGGCCAGGCCAGGACAAGGGGGTGCCAGAGCCATGACCACTACCCCACCCCCACCACCCGCCTCTCCATCTCAGTATTCCCCTCCCATCACTTATAACACACATACCTCATCCAGCCTCCTCCCTGCTCAGACTTGGGGAGGGTGGGGGAGGAGGAGCCCCTACCCCTATCCCCAGTGGCAGGTCTGCAGGGCTGGGAGAGGGCAGGGCGTGTGACATAGACACCGTCCAAAAGGGGACAGTACTTCCTGCCCTGGGAACTCCTGGGTGGGGGGAGGGGGACACTGCCCAGAGGCGCTACTGAATGTATGAGAAGCTGGTGCTGGGGTGGGGGGAGGGGGGTTATGGCCAGAAACAGGGAAGGAGGTAGGTCCCTTTCCCAGGGAGGGGTGGGACCGGTAGGGGTGACTTGAGGGGCTCCTACTCCTGCCCCACGTTGACAATCAGTATGTCTGTTATGTGCGATTTTTCACCCCGTTGTGTTTTGGGTCAGGATTTTAAAGAAAGATATTTTTATGGTAATTGTTGCTCGTCTATTTTACTATATATTTATGTAATAAATATATGATGAAAATAACCCCCTTGGGCACCCCCCCTTAGACTTGTGTGCTGTTTCCCTATATCCTCCCATCTGCTGGCAGAGTACCCACCCCACAAACTGACCAGATGGAGAGGTGTCCCCCCCCCAAGCCTTGGCAATAGTCCCACCCCAGCCCCCAAACGAGCACACACCACAGAAGCCAGCTCAGCTGTGAACTATTGGATTTGAGACAGGAACAGAACAAATGGGGGGCCAGAGAAGGGTGGGAAAGTGAGAGTGGTTTAAATAGGGGAGGATGGGAAGCATGGTGATGGGGGAGGGAGCAGGTATTTACAAGAAGGCTCAGGGGGCCAGAGGCTCATCTTGGAATATTTTATAACAATATAAATAAGATTCTGGTTTGCTTTTCCTTTTCGTCTCGTAAAGGAGAGAGAAGTGCAGAGTTCGATTCTGTACAAGGGGGCAGCGGCAGAAGGCCGGCCGGGCGGGTCACTGGGCGTCCACCCGGAAGGACAGCAGCTTCTCGGAATGCATGTTGTTCAGGGTCCGCAGGTCCGGCAGCTTGAGCAGCAGCTTGGTGAAGCGGGAAGTCTCCGAGGGCCGGTTCTTCAGCACCAGAGCCCGAAGAGCCCGCAGCAGCGTCTCCTGGAGCTGCTCCACCGAAGCGGAATTCTCCATGCCCGAGCGGTCTGTGGGGAAGACGACAGCAGTGAGGCAGGCTCCCTGAGCTCCTCTGACGAGGAACCGGAGGTCTGCGAGGACCTGGCAGGCAAGGCAGCCTCTCCCTGAAGCCCCTCTGAGGGCCCGTGGGGAAGGAAAAGGAGCGGCACAACTCCTTCCAGGCCTCCGCCCAAGAGCAGGGGGTGCCTGAATGCTGGGAGCACGGCTGGCAGGCTGGCCACCTCCCATCCTACAAGACCACTCTCCTCCCCTGAAAAGGCCATGTGTGGCCAGGCTCCCTTGCTTTTTGCTCTGTAGTTCCCTCTGCCTGGGATGCCCTTCCCCCTTTCTCTGCCTGGCAACATCTTACTTGTCCTTTGAGACCCCACTCAAGTGTCACTCCTTCCCCAGCTCCCCCAGGCAGAAATAGTTGTCTGTGCTTCCTTGATTCATGCTTTTACTGTGACACTTGTCTCACTGTTTTATAATTAGTCGGGCATGAGTCTGTTTCCCAAGCTAGACTGTGTCTGAATCATGTCTGTATCCCCAGTGCCCTGTGCAGGGCCTGGCATAGAGTAGGTACTCCATAAAAGGTGTGTTGAATTGAACTGCGTCTGCCTCCTCCCGGGTTAGGCGAGAGCTTGACCTACCCGCAGAGACAAGCACCACCGCGGTAAAGAGGCCCAGCTCCTCCTCAGTAAGCGCCAAGGAGTTGAGCTTCTCGCTAAAGTCGAACATGGCATTGAGGAGGTCTCCCATGCCCATGGCACCAAGCTCCTGCAGGCTGTAGGTGGTACGGCTCAGGAACATCACTGTCTGGTCCTTCACGTTGAACAGTGATGCAAAGCGCACCATCAGCACCTGAAGGGAGGACCGTCATCCTGGGTTAGGTGGGAGAAGCAAGTGCAAAACACCCCAGAAGTTGGCCAAAGGGTTTAGTGGTACTGCCCTATGTTTCTCAGGGTGGGAGGGTTGTTTCTGAATGGGCAATGCCGTGGGAGGGGGCAGGTGGAAACACTGGGAGCATCCCACTGGCTTTGGAATAGGTACTTCACCAGTTAATTTGCTCACATCTAGAATGGAGGTAGCACTTTTCATGTAATGGGTGACAATTAGATGCCGGCTGGGATGAAAGAAGTTCCAGCCATCCAGAGGTGGACATGGGAGGGTTCTGCCCCTCTATCAGATTCTGGGATTCCAGAGCCTTTCAGAGCCCCTGCTCACCCCAGATATCAAGCCATTCTGCTGGATCTTTCCCAAGCTTAAGAGCAGGGAGCACAAAACATCACTCACCTCAAAGGTACCGGCCTTGAGCAGGGTGACCTGGTCATGCTGAGAAAGGTCACGGAAGCCAGGGATGTGCTTGGCAAACTCTACTACCTCCCGCACAGCGGGGGTGAAGCTCATGGAGAAATCTTCCCAGATCTCCTGCACAGTTCGGCCACTGCGTCCGTGGGGATACATGTTCATGGGACATGCCTGAGGAAAGAAGGGTTGTGGGGAGGGTAATGTCAGCCAGGTTGGCTTAGATGGGTTTCCCAGTAGGGCCAGGCCCCAGATTTTGCCTGGGCTAGGGGCTGTGGCCCTGGAGAATGGATAATAGCAGTCAGGTGCCAAGTGGAGATCAGGGATTCCCAGGCAGAGCCCAGACTGCAGGGCAGGACACCCTCACCTGGGAAGAGGATATCACCACACTTAGCCTCCAGGAATACCCAGCTGTCCTATATTTAGTCTGTTCTTCCAGGCCCCCTGCCCTCTCCACCCCCTCCCATGTCCTCACCAGCAGAACATTCTTGGAGTTGCCTTGCCGCGGACTGTTGGCAGGTGCCTCGCCTTCTGGGGCTGTGTACACGTGGGTGGGGCACAGACGGTGCCCATTGCTATTGGGCTGGTGGCAGCTGTGGTGAGGAGGGCCGGGGGGCCAGGCAGGAGGATAGGAGGAAGGGCCCTGGCGTAGACCATTCAGGGCCTCATTATGCCGCTGCGCGGCCAAGGCGTTGTCATTGGGGGCAGGCGGGCAGCCCTGACTCTCCCAGCGATGTGGGATGGTGCCTGAAGGGCTACTCGATGTATGGTTAGCATTGAAGTTGCCAGGTGAAGTGCCCAGCTTGTCGTGGGCATAGGTGAAGATCTCTCGATGTGCCCGGGCCACCTGAGATATCACATCCTCCACGGTGGGCTCAGGGCTTGGGGATCTGGGTGGTGTCAGCTGTTGTGGGAACTGAGAGAATCCCACCAGGGGTGAGGGGGTCGGAGCAGGAGGTGGCGAGGGTCCCATGGGGCCTGAGGTGGGGTGCTGGGTGGGTGAGGTCTCCAGTGGGCACTGGCTGCTCAACTGGTTGTTGGCCAGGTTCATGGCACTCTGCATCTCAGCAAGCATCCGCTGCTTCTCTCTTTTGGGGATGCGCCCAAAACGCACAGCTGTGACAGGATAAGAGCAGTGTCAGGAAGTTCTCAATACACTCACATGCATCTCTTCCTTCCTCAGACCCTAAAGGCCTGAGGAAAACCAAACCCAGCAAGGCCACACCCATCAAGGTGATCTTTCCAAGTACAAAGGAATTGATGGGAAAGAAGTATGTGTTTACCCAAGAGGATAACATAGGGGCATCCTCCATGCAATTGAGATTCACAGTACCATGTGTCTCAGTTTAGGACTGTTTTTCTTAAGGGAGGGATTAGGTCAGAAGGTTTGGGTGGAGGGAAAGGGGAGGATATGAGAATGCTGCCTCACCATCTCGAGACATGCCCACGGAGAGACACTTCTTGAAGCGACATTGTTGGCAGCGGTTGCGATTGATGCGGACAATGGAGCAGTTCTCATTTTTCAGACACCGTTTGTACTGGATGTTCTGCTGGATGCTTCGACGGAAAAAGCCCTGGAGGGCAGGGGCAGTTAGTGAGCATCTCCATCCAAGCTGGGCCTATGTATTCTGGGAGAGGAGTGTCACCTGCCCCAGCCCTCACCCCCAACCTGCCTCACCTTGCAGCCCTCGCAGGCGTGCACACCATAGTGGAAGCCTGAGGCCACGTCCCCACACACTTTACACAGTAACACCATGCCATTCAGCTCTGTGGGAAGAGATGGGCAGTGGATAAGCAGAGGCCCTTCTGTCTGAGTGGCTTGAAATGTGGAGGTTTTCTAGGGTGGAGATTTTGCAGGGGAAGAGTTAAGGAAGCACTCCAGTGTTTAAGGGCCCCTCAGATGACCAGACAGGGCTGGACAGGGGCAGGCTGAGGCCAAAGTAAGCCCTGAGAGTAACTGTCTCATGAAAACGAACTCCCAACCTAGCCTTGGCTCACTTCCCTTCCCTCAAATCATCTGGACATCAACTCACTGGTGATATTGCTGGTGCTCTTGCTGGGGGACACGCGGCTGCTGTCTTCTATGGCCACTTGTAGACTCCCTGGGGGGCTCCCATTATAGAAGGAGGATGATGAGGAGGAGGAAGAGGAAGAAGGGGAGCTGTCATCACTTAAGCTGGGTGGAATGCTCCCAAAGGAGCGAGCTGGGTCCTGGGTAAGGGAGCCAGTAGGCGATGGTGGGAAGTAGGTAGGGCAGCTTTGGGTCAGGGACTGGAAGCTGCCATTGGAGTTGTCACTGTATAGAGACTCCGGACTGGTGCGGCTTGGGGAGGAGCCACTGGAGCCAATGTAGGTGATGACGCCACCTGGCAGGAGAACACAAGGGAAGGGGATGTCAGCTGCCATATTTTTGATCCTAGGGCATCACCAATTTCATCCCAAATCACTGTTCCTCTTATAAGTTAGCCATGTGGAATCCCTAAGCTTGGAGTTCATTAGTAACTCCCAACACAGACATGATATTGCTAATCTTGTCATAATAAGTAACTCCCCAACACATGCTAGGCATAGTATGGCCAAACAAGTGCACTGTCCTTTCTTCGCAGGATATAATCAATTTCTGCTTGAGTGTGAATCATGATGCCTGTAGTCAACTCATACCTCCTGCCCTAGATACTCAGCTAGAAAATGTCAACTGTAGGCAATGACTTAATTGTCAGTGTCAAAACTAGGGATGGGACAAGTAGCAGAGAGCCATTCATAGTGCTGGGTCTTCAAAAACAAAAACCAGCTTCCATTTCTAACTTCTTGCACAAAGACCATTCCAGGGATAGAGATCATAGACCAAGAAGGGTGGCTAGCTAACAGTAAAGAGAACAGAGGTCTGTCAAAATAAAATGGTCATGCCCCCCCACCCCCCAAAAACAGGGAGACAAATTCTCTTAAGGTATTGCAGGGAAGAAACCAGCTCAGCCTTGCTTCCCCCGCTTCCAAGAGATGAGTCACAGTGGACTCTATCTCTGAGTCCAGGAAGGGCTTAGCGGTGAGTTGCAGGAGGTGGAAGTGAAGTACAAATTGTCCAGCCTGGGGCTCTGGAATTCCCCCTTCCAGATCTTAGACTGGTGACATATTCCGCGCTCTGGCCACTCAGGGACTTTGGCACTCTAATTATAATCAGCTGGCTCTGCTCTTATGGTTTCAGGAGAAAATGGTGACCTGCCTGCCACACCTCTGCCAAGCACCTAGCAGGGCCTGCCATGGGTAGGGTGGGAGAAGGGAGGATCCCAGGACACGTGTAAACTGACACATGCCAACTGACACATGCCATGCCACCGTGTCTACAGAGGCACATGTCTTGCTCACCCACTGACACACACTAAACTGGGCAGGGCAGCCTTAAAATAGCTCAAGGTTGGTCAGGGTGAACACAGCTCCCTGTAAAGTAGTTGCACAACAGATCAGCTCCTACAGTTTCAGGACTGAGGTGGGGGATGGGATATTTATTTGGTAGTAAATGAACTTGACCCAGTTTATCCATCTCCGAAAGAGCCTTCCAACTTTGAAATGAGGGGCCCACCAAAAGAATCTAATTCTAGATCTAGATCTTTCACCAACCAACTTTCATTGGGACCTGGAGGAAATCATCCCTCTGCCCCCTGCCCAGTTTTTCCTTCTGTGAGGAAAAAAAAAAGGGGGGGGGGTAAGAGAAGAAAAGCAATATCCTTTCAGCTAGGGTTCTGGGTTATAGTTATTTGGGGGCAGTCCTTAGAGGCCAGCTGCTGTTTAATCTGTGGACTGTTTCTTGATGGGTGGAGGTGGAGGAAGATCATGCTTGGAGGGAGGAAAGAGATGCTTGGGGAACTGTAAGAACTGGGAATGTGGATAAGGAAATTGGGTCCAAACGCAGTGCAGTGAAGTACATGCAAACAGAATTGAGGGGGGAAAGCGAGCAGAAGGATAATCAGATGTGAGGTGCCTTTGGGGAGCATAAACACGAGGCCAGGAGAGGTCAGGGGTGGCTCCATCTTACTCTGCCTCTGTGATGGGGGAGGGGGGCCGGCAGGCAGGCGAGAAAAGGAGGCAGGCGGGGGCGGTGAGTCAGCCCAGCTTCACCCAGATCTCGGCTGGGCGGGGCGGGAGCCCAGCCCTCAGCCGGCCTCACGTCCCAGCTCCACGTGTGCCCATCGCACGTGGCTCCCCAACGAGGAACCCCGGAACTCAAGGCCCCGCCCTCTCCGCTTCCCGTCTGCCGCGAGCAGCAGCCCCGCCCTCCCTCCGCCCTTCCCTGCAGTCCTGGGTCGTGGGCTGGGCCCAGAACACTCGCTGGGCCAAGACAACCAAGGGGAGGAGAGAAGGGGACACGCGTTGCCGGAGCAACGGGGGCGGAGCTCATTATGTAACGGGGCCGAGAGGCAACAACCAATGGGGTGGCGTCCACGGCCTCTGCTGAATGAAAACAAATGCAGCACGTGGGCCCGGCTCTGCGGCCATGTGAGCCCTCCTGGAGCCCGGGCACTGTGGGTGCCCTCCCTGGGGCCGAGCACCACGCTCCGGACTCCTCAAGTGCCGCTCCCTACTGTCACTGAGGATTCCCCTTTGAGATTCGACCCATTCATTCCCCCTGCCGCTCCTGCCCCCATCGCCCCACGGCTTCTGATTCCCTGGAGCGTGCGGGGAAACTACAAGAAGGAGAAAAAGAGAGGAGAATTCCTCCTTCCGAGGCCAGGCATACCACAGCGGCAGGGGATGACGGATGGGGACGTTTCAGGACACTGCTCCAAAGTTCCCAGTCTCCCTAAGCTCTTCAGGTCACTATTCCGTACCCGCTCTCCGCTTCCTCTTGTCAGGGATACGAGTCCTTCTGGCTCAAGGGAGCTTTGGGACTGATGGGTGGCGGTGGTGGTGAGCTTCAGGGTGCATTCCCAGAACGAACAACCCGCTGTGGAAATCCTACCCTATGACCCCTCAGCATGCTAGCAAATGTCTGAGCAGAGGGATTCCCCAGTCTCCTACAAAGTTCTTCTTGTGATAAGGCGTAAGATGGAAGTTGGGAGACAGACAGAGGTAGGATGATAGTAGTAAAGGAATCTCTGTACCTGTATTGTTATTGGAGTCCAGGGTCGTCATGTCTTCACCGGTCGAAAGCGGTCATTCAAACTGGACCTTGACACAGACTGGAGGTTGCTGTTGCTGTTCTTGCCCCCGGGGCACTGGCTGAGGACGGGGAGTGGACCCCGCTGCTCAGGTTCAGGATCCGAGGCACCCTGCAGCAAGCTCTTAGGGTGGCCGGACTGCAGCCCTGCTGAAGGGTAGGACGCTGAGGCAACGGAGGTCTGCTTTGCATGGGAAAAGCAGAGATAATGTGTGTGGGGAGATCGGCCTGCAGTAGTTCTGGCTAGAAGGTACCAAGGAGGGTCGGGTCTCTGCAGTGCACCGGGTGCCACTGCCTGACGGCTCCGCAGCGCTGCAGGGTAGCGAATCTGGAGCTCCCGGTGCAAAAGTCCCAGAGGGAGAGAGGTTGCAACCAGGAAGTAAGTAGGTGATGGGAGAAACGGGGCACCCAGGCGCAAAGCAGAGAGACGTGTGCCCTGCTACGTTCCCTCGGCAGCAATATTTCACTCTGCCAATCTCAGCCGCCTTTTGCCCGAGCCTTTCCCTGGGACAGAGGGCTCTGCGCAGGCGCCAGCAGCCCAGGGTTCCCGGGCCGCACGCGGCACTGGAGCAGGTACCATGTGATCCCAGGGAGCGCCTCGTGCCCCAGTGACACACTTTTCCAACAGCCGGCACGTTGAACTCCGTGCGCCTGCGCACGCTAAGACTATCGGGATTTGTAGTCCACTGACAAAGTGGGCGGACTGCGTGTGTTTCCCCTTTCTGCTTTGCAAAAGTGCTTGCTGGCAGCGGGGAGGAGCTGAAAGTGGAAAGGGGTGGGGTGCGCTGAAGAGTCAGGCTGGCGTGTTTGGAAAGCCTGTATGGCAGGGGCATGTGAATTCCTGGGGAGGGACTGGCAAGCTTGTCTGCTCCCTGGGAGATCAAAGCTTAAAAGGCCCTTTCTGCAAACTTTGCAAACGTGAGAGCTTCACGTGATTGCAGGGCTGACCTCGCCCTGAGGTTACTGGTGACACGGGGAGAGAGACAAACAGGGGAGGGAGATTTCCCTGGAGTCAAGAGCTTAAGCTGCTTTTGCTGCTGGGCTAAGGTCTGCGATGGAAAGGCAATGTGACCCCTTTTCCCTTCTACTCCCCTTAGGGAGAACACCCCAAGGGAAAAGAGTGTCAAGGAGGTGGGGATATCCCTAGGGACTCCCTGTTTGCTTGTATGACACCACCCCACCCACTCGAGGTGACTTCTGGGTGAGTCATTTCCCTTTATCTGGGAAATAAAAAGGACAACCAAGGGGAACTTCATGGTGAAAGTGCTTTGAGGTCCTTAAATAATGGGGCAGAGGTGAAGCTGGACCCTGGAGGAAGAATGACAGCCCCTACCCTTCACCCACAGTGCTTGAGGGTGGCCCATGGATTCCGCAGAAGATAACAGAGGAGAATATGAAGATCGTCTTAATCTTCCCTCCTTTTACTGAAGAGGAAAATGAAGCTTAGAAATTAACTAAGGGGGATCTGGGGATATAGCTTAGTTGGTAGAGTGCTTGCCTTGCATACACAAGGCCCTGAGTTCAATCCCCAGTACCTCAAAAAAAAAAAAAAAAAAAAGAAGAAAGAAAGAAAAAGAAATTAACTCAGGGTCAGGTATCCATTGCTAGTTTCATCTGCCCACCCTGAACATCAGAGAGATGGGTAGATGTGCAACTTCCAGTATACTCCCTTCAGAGTAGCAACTACCATGGTAGTGAAAAAAGTCTCCAGGGACTGGGGATATAGCTCAGTGGTAGAGCACTTGCCCAGCATGTACAAAACCTTGTGTTCTATCCCCACCGCTACCAAAAAAAAAAAAAGAAGAAGAAGAAGAAAGGGCTGGGGATGTGGCTCAAGCCCTAACGCGCTCGCCTGGCATGCGTGCGGCCCGGGTTCGATCCTCAGCACCACATACAGACAAAGATGTTGTGTCCGCTGAAAACTGAAAAATAAATATTAAAAAATTCTCTCTTTCTCTCCCTCCCTCCCTCCCTCTCTCTCTCTCTCTCTCTCTCTCTCTCTCTCTCTCTCTTTCTCTCTCTTTTTTTTTTTTAAAGAGAGAGTGAGACAGGGGGGAGAGAGAGAGAGAGAATTTTTAATGTTTATTTTTTAGTTCTCGGCGGACACAACATCTTTGTTTGTATGTGGTGCTGAGGATCGAACCTGGGCCGAGAAGAAGAAGAAGGAGAAGGAGAAGGAGAAGGAGAAGGAGAAGGAGAAGGAGAAGAAGAAGAGCTCCTGTTCTCAAGCTGAGGTCAGTCCTCTCAAAAGGCTTGGATAAGGGAGAATGGGAGCTTTCTCTAGCAACCTGGTGAACCTGAGCCCCCGACTGCTCCTGCCAAGTCCTCAGGTCTAGTATGTCTAGGAAGGATTTTCTTCATGCAGGAAGCCCTTCTCCTCCACAAGCAGCTCCTTGGGCAGCCATGATGGATACCTGGGAAACATGATAGCCGCCAAAGAGGCAGAGAAAAGAGTAAGGGCTGGGTGTGGTCGTATACACCTGTAGTCCCAGCTATTCAGGAGGCTGAGGCAATAGGATCACTTCACCCAATGAGTTAAAGACCAACCTGGGCAACATATAGAGATCCCATCTGAAAAAGAAAGAAAGGAAGGAAGGAAGGAAGGAAGAAAGGAAGAAAGGGAAAAAAGTGGGGCAGGGGGGTCACCAAGGAAAGAGCTGGCTATTGAGGCCAGTGAGGTTGGCAGCTAGCCAGCTGACCAATGACCCCTCTAACTCCCAGCAGAAGAGTGGCTCCCTAGAATAGCCTAGGCTTTAGCTTTGTTCCCCTGCCCTCAAGGAGAGAGGGAAAGAGAGAGAGAGAGAGAGAGAGAGAGAGAGAGAGAGAGAGAGAAGATATGGGGGGGGGGGGCAGTGGGCTTTTCTCTCGCCTGGAACCTGGCTCTAGGGCCCAGAGCCTGGAAGCTGCTGCAGAGCGTGTGGGAGGAATTGGGAGGGACTAGGAGAAACAAGGAAAGAGACTTTTCAGGAAAACTGGGTTCTGAGTTCAGCCTCCACCCCCTCTCCCTCCTCCCAGGGGACTGTGGAGGGAAAGCTGGGAGGTAAGCCACCATGTCTGGTGCTGTCCACTTTCTGCAACCCTCCTGACTCTCCCCCACAGCCAGGGCCAGAACCCCAACACAGGTATCTGTCAGGGGTGGACTTAAAATCAGGACCCCTATGGTGATGTCTAGTTCCCCACTGGCCCCAATCCTGCCACTGGCAAACATTCCCTTTAATTGCCCTGGCTCCGCCCAAGACCCCCTGATGTTTGTGGCTGTGGTGGTCCTGCCCACTCCCTGGCTAGTTGCTGAGTGTTTCTCTCTAGAGGAGAAGGGCCAGGGGTCAAGATTCCCTCCCTGAGTTTTCAGCCAGTGAGAAGGAGGAGGCTGAGGCAGCAAGAGCTGAAATTCAGTTGGCCTAACTCTACTCTTGGCAAGAAGCTGGGTTGTTTTTGCAGTCTGTGTCAGGTATGAAGGCAGAGGCTGGGAGGGAGGAAACCAAAGAGAGAGGTTACCTCTGCCCTCTCCTTCCTCTGCACTTCATATAGGGCAAAAAAAGTAAGTTTTGCCTGGACATGGTGGTCCATGCTTGTAATCCCAGCTACTTGGAAGGCTGAGACAAGAGGATGGCAAGTTAGAGACCAGCCTGAGGGACTTAGTGAGACTCTGTCTCAAAATAAAAAATAAGGGCTGGGGATGTGGCTCAAGTGGTAGCACATTCGCCTCCTAGCATGCGTGAGGCACTGGGTTCGATTCTCAGCATCAAATAAAAATAAAATAAAGATATCGTGTCCACCTAAAAAACTAAAAATAAATATTTTAAAAAATAAAAAGGCCTGGGGCACCCCTGGGTTCAATCCCTAGTCCTCCTAAAAAAAAAGTAACTTCGGGGTCTTTCTCCTTCCTCTTCCTTCTTTTCTTTTTTTTCTTTCTTTCTTTTTTTTTTTTTTTTTTTTTTTTTTTGTACTGGGGATTGAACTCTGGGGTACTCAACCACTGAGCCACACCCCCAGCCCTATTTTATATTTTATTTAGAGACAGAGTCTCACTGAGTTGTACTTTGCAGTTGCAGAGGCTGGCTTTGAACCCCATTCTCCTCTCTCAGCTTCCCAAGCCGCTGGGATTACAGGTGTGTACCACTGTGCCCAGCCCTCCCCAGCCCTTTTTATTTTTTATTTTGAGACAGGGTCTCACTAAATTACTGAGGCTGCCCTCAAAATTGTGATCCTGGGCTGGGGATGTGGCTCAAGCGGTAGCGCGCTCGCCTGGCATGCGTGCAGCCTGGGTTCGATCCTCGGCACCACATACAAACAAAGATGTTGTGTCCCCGAAAACGAAAAAATAAATATTAAAATTCTCTCTCTCTCTCTTTCTCTCTCTCTCCCCCCCCGCCCCGCCTTTAAAAAAAAAAAATTGTGATCCTCCTGATTCAGTTTCCCAAACCGCTGGGATTACAGGTATGCACTACTGTGTCTGACTGAGTCTTCCTTCTGCAATGTGTGAAGGGGATACACAATGAAAGGCAGGGCTAACCCTTGTCTCTAGAAGCTTCTAGTCTATCCATCAGTCTACTTTTTGTACTAGATGCTACTGGCAGGGCAGAGAGTAGGAGACCCAGAACCAACAAACTGGGGTTGGGAAGACTGGGTTGTCTGGCCGTTGGGAACCTGGAATAGATTCATAATCGCTCTTTGACCTCACCTTGGCTTTAGATAACAGGTGTATCTCAATACAATCTTCCTCTCCCTCCCACCAGCTGGACATTCCAGTGCACTTCTATACACATATACACACACACACACACACACACACACACATGCATACACACGCCATGCATACATGCACAAACACATCATTCCTCCTATAGCCCAATGTGGCCCAAGAAGGGACCACACTCAATGAACATGCTCAGCAAGACACAGTCCTGGATCCATATTATATACACTTCCACTCCGATTCCTCAGAATCTGGGATTGTAGAGACCAGCCCACCATTTAGGGGCTGTGTTGGATCCTTCATGTGTATGTGTGTTTCCAAATACGTCTCTCATTTAAGATTCTAGAAAAGACAAGGGAGATAAAGGAAGGAAAGGGATCAGGATCTTTATATTCTGATGAGTGTGTCTGCATGTGATTCTATGATTGTAAGTGTGAGACTGTACTTTTGAATGTGAGTATGAATGCTGTGAGTGTATGTGGGTGTGTATTTGATCCAAGATCTCGTCTCTTTGCCAGTAGGTTGTTCTGGGTAACAGGGCAACGCCCTGTGCAACTCTTGGGTGGCCTAAATCTTGGACTGACTGCTTGACTGACTGACTGACTGACTGACTGAGGGTGCGTCCATGCTGAAAACAGGTCAGACTTCAGTAAGTAGCTTCCCATCCCCCTCCTTTCTCACCAAGGAACCATTGCCCAGGATAAAACCTGTCTGCCCAGGTGATGCAAACCTGGAACAGAAACCCTGGGGATGCCCCCAAATCCAGGAACCAGCTGTGTACCTGGAAGAGTCTCATTCCCTGCCCTGCTAGATCCTTTTCCTGGTCTCTAAAAGGCCAGCTTTCTTTCTTTACCCCACCCAAGTCTTCAGTGTCTGGGGAGAACTTTAAGACATGCTAGAAGAGTAATAAAATCTGAGCTACCTTGTTCTTTGGGAGATAGGGAAAAAGAAGGTGAGGTATGAATTGGCGGTGGGTTTTATGAATGTATTTCACCTCAGATTCTATCTTTTTAAAAAATATTTTGTTAGTTGTTGATGGACTTTTATTTATTTATATGTGGTGCTGAGAATCGAACCCAGTGCCTCACACATGTTAGGCAAGCGCTCTACCACTGAACTACAACCCTAGATTCTTTTTTCTTTTTTTAAATATTTTCTTAGTTATCAATGAACCTTTATTTTATTTATTTATATGTGGTACCTCAAACATGCTAGGCAAGTGCTCTACCACTGAGCCACAACCCCAGCCCCCAGATTCTATCTTTTTAAAAAATATATTATTATTATTATTAATATTATGATGATGATGATGATGATGATGATGTTAGGTGTAGATGGACACAACACAATGCCTTTATTTTTATGTGGTGCTGAGGATCAAACCCAGTGCGTCACATATTTGAGGCAAGCATTCTGCCATTGAGCCACAATCCCAGCCCCCAGATTCTATCTTTAAAAAATAATAATAATAATAATTTTTTTTTGTAGTTGTAGGCATGGACAGCATGCCTCTATTTACTTTTGTATGCAGTGCTAAGGATYGAACCCCATGCCTCACACATGGTAGACAAGCAGCTCTACCACTGAGCCACAGCCCCAGTACCTCATATTCTATCTTTATCTAACTACTATTCTTTCCAAGGAAAGGAAATAATAAACATGTATTAAGTACCAGTTTATTAAGTGCCAAAATATGCCAGACACTGTTCAATACGCATATTATTTCACTTAATATTCACAACAACCCTATGCTGTAGGTGGCATTCTTATTTTAGAGATGGGAAAACTGAGACTTACACATGTTTACTAACTTGTGCAGGGTGCCAGAGAGGCTAAGTGGTTTGTCTTAAAGCCATATTTGCATAGTACTTAAAACTGAGATGTCATATGGAAGAATGACTGAGCTGATGGAGATTATTCAAAGGGCTAAAACTCCCAGCGCCCGCCCACCTTTGGTACTAGGGATTGAAACCAGGGTTGCTTTACCACTGAGCCACATCCCCAGCCCTTTTTTATATTTTATTTACAGAAAGGATCTCACTGAGTTGCTTAGGGCCTCATTAAATTGCTGAAGCTGGCTTTGAACTTGATATCCTCCTTCCTCAGCCTCCTGACCCACTGGGATTACAGGTGTGCACCACCGCACCTGAATACTCCCCAACCCTTCTTGAACTACTACTGTCCACATCATGATGAGTATGGCAGTGCTAGGATTCAACACCAGGCCCCAAGTCCAAACTCTTTCCACTGGCAACACTGTCCCTCCCAGAGAGACTGGTTGCTCCAGGGGGCACTTCTGAGCAGCAAACATCCCAGTGTTTCCCAAGGATGGCTGGTGCTCAGAAGTGAAATGAACAGAAGAAACCTGTTCAGTATCCCTTGTTCCTCCCCCCACAAGAATCTCAGCTTCCTAGAACCTTTCTTTTATTTATTTTTGTGACACTGGGGATCAAAGCCAGGGCCTCCGTCATGCTAGGCTTTACCACTGAGCTACACCTAGCCCCTCCCTCCCCCTTTTGAAACAGGTTCTCACTGAATTGCCCAGCGATATTTAATTTCTGAGCCACAACCCAACCCTTTTTATTTTTTATTTTGAGGCAGGGTCTAAGTTGTTGAGGGTTCCCTAAATTGCTGAGGCTGGCATTGAACTTGCAATCCATTTGTCTTAGCTTCCTGAGCCACTGGGATCACCGTGCCCAGCTTAGAACCTCTCTTTTAACTTCAACACATCTTCTTCCCTAAACCTTTCCCATTTTCCATCCTACATTCATCTTTTCTGGTTGTAAAGTTGGGAAGAAACCACAGTAGGGTGCAAAAACTAAAACTACCAGGTAGCAAAAAAATCTCCCACATAGATTGCTTCAGAGGTGAGTAACAAAGCAGGCATCTGAACTCTTTTCCTTACTCCAACCTCAGACTTTGGGGTTTGTAGCTGATGGGGGGATAAAGGGAAAGGTAGGTCGGGGTCCATTAGAGTTTCATGGTGCTATCTTCCAGGGGCTATATTAAGAACTGATTGAAAGTGTGGAAGTTCACCAGGGTCAGAAATTGGGTACAAAACCCTAAGGAAGGAACTTCTGACTTCCCCATTTACCTGCTTGAGCAAAGTGCATCTCTACAGCTGCCATCCTGAACAGAATGCTTCTCCAGTAGATTCTTTGGGGAACCCAAAGGACCAAAGGATGATCCCCCTCTCAGAGTAGAGGATCCCACAGATATCATAGGATCCCAAAGGTGGCATGGACTGTCCTTGGCATTGGAAGACTAAGCCCCAGGTGACCCATTTTCTGTCGTGGAACTCCTCTTCCTAGTTAGAGGGTAATGGCATCCAGCACATGCAATGCCAAAGTCTTCTTCCTGTCCACTCTGCTGTGCTGCTATTGGAATCCACTGGTGGTATCATCTTCCAGGCCCCTGTGTCTGACCACTGAATGACATTGAGCTTCTGTGGACTGAGATACAGGGGAGTATGGGCATTTGTATGTTCATGTGTGTTGTGTATACACGTTTGTGATGATGGTAATCCTATATGTCTGCCTCTGTCTCTGCCCCTTACCCCAAGATGCATTTCAAACCCTCTCCTTATCCAGCATCTCCCTATTCTTTGGGCTTATGCAGATCTCTATGCAGCTTCCTGTGGAGACCAGAGGCTCATGATAGTCCTTGTGATCAGGATGGACCTCAGAGGAGCTGAGGCTGGGGCAGGCATTAGGGGCCATGTGAAGCTTCTGGGAGGCTTACATAAACACTGGCTGGGATGTGGAGGGGAAGAGGGGGTGTGCAATGGGCCCAGGAAAAAAAAAAAAAAGCAACCCCTGCCCCACCAGCCAGCTCAGCCTGCTTGGAAACATGGAACAAGGCTCACTTTCCTTCCTCCTGTCCCTCTCCCCTGATCTGCAGCTGTTTGTTGGGCTGGAAGGACTGCAGAATCTTGGGGGAGGGAGGCAGGGGAAGGAGAGGGAGAGGATGCAACTTCATAAATTTGGGATCTTTCTCGCTCTTCTAAATTAGGGGGGAAGGAGGAAGAAGCAATTTGCCAGAGAGATTTTCAATGCCGCAGGAAGGAGCTTTGGCTCATTAGAATGCACAGTTTGCACCCTGGAAAAAAAAATCTGTGCTGGTTGCAAAAATGCAGACGTGTGTAGGGGCCCAGCGGAGATTAAAAAAAAAAAAAAAAAAAAGCGCTAGCTCTGCAATGCAGGATCTCTGAAGTTTTGGTGCGATGAGGAAATGTGGGTCGTGCTCATTTCATTTGCTTGTTCCTGCTAACCTACTGTCCGCCTGACTCCAGCACAGTCTCCCATCCCAGCAAGAGCACTGCTGCTCAGAATGAGGGTCACAGGCCACCGGTGGGAACAGAGAACTAAAGTGGGAGTCTGGGATTAAAGTGTGGGGGAGGAGACACTTAAGTGATGGGTGGAAGTTGAAGTTATCTTTTGCATACTTACTTGTTCTCCAGCTGGACAAGAATCTGTGCAAAAGTCCTTCCAGTTCTCCCCCACTTACCCATGACCCACCTTTGGGTCCTCCTCACCCCCTTCCTGTCCTCTGACAGACCACTGCTGCAGAAAGGAACTTTGTTCCAAGTCCCTTATCCCACAAATCCCTAAATTCTCCTTGTTCTAATCCGAGAGCGGGCACTAGCTGCATGCACAAGTGGCATCCTTCTTCCTAGAAAGAGGGGACAGAATAGTCTGATTTGAGGAGCCCAGGCTGCAAGCAAAGCAAGTCTTGGCTCTGGGCTTCCATCAGCACATCAACAGGAGGGGCTGGGGAGGGAGACTCTGTGCTCTCAGTTGGGGGAGGCCCTTTGTTCTTTGGGGGGTTAGGACTTTGGGTGGTATAAAATGCCAAGGGACTGCCTGGAGGAGAATATGCCTGGAGAAACCATGTTTCCTTGCTGGTGTTTGTTCCCTGGTGGCTCAGGAGAGACAAAAGGGCAGAAGCAGGATATAGGGCCAGGAGACAAGGGAGCCCAGTGCCCTTTCACTCTTGCCTCCCGTTCCTCCGGCCGCTGGAGGACAGGACCAAGTGTGTTTGTGCAGGCTGGAGGCTCACGCGGGCTGCCGGGGTCACATGGCCCGGGCATGTGCAGCCTGCTCCATTTCTACCACAACAACTCGCTCATAAACAGCCCGGCTGCTGCGGTGGTGGCGGCGGAGACATGTGCAAGCGAGGGGGTGGGGCACGTGGCCCTGCCCGAGCCAAGGGAAGGCGGTCGATCGCTCAGCATTGCCTCCACCCCTCCCGGTACTGGCGCTGCCTCGCCACAGGAAATTCCTAATGCTCCGTTGCTGCTGCAAAACATGTTTTGGGGAAGTGACTTTCAGTAAGGATGGAGTCAATAGACTATTTGAAAAAAGATATCACAGATAATCAGTCCAACACCAACTTATACTTGCCCTCACTCTATCTTTCTTAGCACCCTGAGGTGGAGGGCTAAGCAGGAGTCACATGCTCATTATTCTCACCAATTCTTTCCTCCTGAGTTATATAAATTGGGACTCTCTTGGGTGAACATTGAAGTGAGGGGCTGGAATTCTCTAAGACCATTATTCTCAGCATCAGCAGCAGGGCCAGTATCACTTTGGAACCTGTAAGAGATGCAAATTCTCAGCCGGTTGTGGTTTTGCACACCTGTAATCCCCGTGGCTCAAGAGGCTGAGGCAAGAGGAATTCAAGTTCAAAGCCAGCCTTAGCAATTTATCGGGGCTCTAAGCAGCTCAATGAGACCCTGTCTCTAAATAAAATAGAAAATAATGCTGAGGATGTAGCTCAGTGATCGAGTACCCCTAAGTTAAATCCCCAGTATATATAAAAAAAGATGCAAATTCTCAGCCCCATCCCAGGCCTACTGAATCAGAAATTCTGGGGGGCAGAGACCAGCAATCTGTTTTAGTAAGCACTCCTGGTAATTATGATGCATGCTGAGGTCTGGGAACCAGGGATCTAGGTGTAGTTTCCTCAGAGGAATGAAGACCAGGACCTGGGAATGTGTCTACCTTTCCTGTTTTTGTGGCTTCATTTCAAAGTTCAGCCAGAAAGTATAATCAGATTTAGTTTGACTCAGCATAAAAAGCATTTATTGAGGAGCTGGGGTTGTGGCTCAGTGGTAGAGTGCTTGCCTCGCATATGTGAGGCACTGGGTTCAATTCTCAGCACTGCATATCCTTTAGAACAACCAACTGTGGTTTAAATAGCTTTGAGGCTCAAGGTATAAATTGTTTTCTTGTCTATTTTTGCTGGCCATAGGGATGCTAAGATATGTCCATAGACTCTTGACTCCCCATGTGTAACTAAAAGGATGAGGACCATGCACATATGAATACACAAACTCATACTCCTTGGGATCTCAGAGGCAATATTAGGGAGAATCAAGAAAAGGAATGAGGTCCCAGAGGGGTGGAAGTTCCCTGGGCAAAATGTGTTTAACAGATAATAAGCAGGAAAAGTCTTTCAATAGAAGGGGGTGGGGACAACTCTGGCCTACTCCAGCTTCCTGAGACCCAGAGACTGTGACCAGAGGAAGCAGAGAGTCTCTGAGGCAGATCACAAAACTCCTGAGAATAAAACCTGAGCCTGGAAAGTGACAGGAGAATAGGGAACAGACATCAGATCAAAGGGTTCCCTTACCCAGGCAAAACAGCAGGGGAGAAGGGAGCAAAAGCCAGGGATGGGGGCATGCCCAGCCCCTCTCCTCTGGCCTTCTCCCCATCACAGACAATGCTCAGGAGCAGAGCTTCTGCTACTGTCTCAGCTCTGACCCGTTGACACCTGGTTTCTCCCTCTTTCATTTTCTGAGGAATTTCTTTCCCTCTGATTCTCATAGAGCTCTTTTTGCTTCTCTTCAAGGCTTCCTCTCTGTGCCTGACAGGCTCTGGGCTCAAGGAGCAGACAGCCCTGCAGGCTCAGCTTCAGTGACCTACATTGGTTCTCCCCTAGGCCCTGGGTGTGGGGGCTGAGGTTTCAAGATAGGAACTTGGGAATCTGGCACAGGTCTACAGATGATGACGTCAGGCAGATAGGCTGCAAAAGTGGCAGTGAGGGACTGTGAGGCAGAGGGCGCCACAGGACTGATTTCTCACTTTGTTATCTAAGGGCCTTTGTGGATAACATCATAAGAGTCTCCTCCCCCAAATGCAAAAACATTTCTGAGCAGTGACCCTTTAGATAGGAGCCAGAGGTCCCTTTCAGGCTTTGTCTCTGTTTATGAGATCTGAGAGTTGTTTCTGTCTGCTCCCCATTCTTGCTAAACCCACTCATTTGCTTCAACAGAAAGAGTTCGTCAGTCTTTTTTTTTTTTTTTTAATATTTTTATTTTTTAGTTCTCGGCAGACACAACATCTTTGTTTGTATGTGGTACTGAGGTTCGAACCCAGGCTGCACGAATGCCAGACTAGCGCACTACCACTTGAGCCACATCCCCAGCCCGAGTCTTGATGTGGACAAATTGGGTTGAGATCTCAGTTGATTTAATTAGGGGAAATGGAGGCTGAGAGGAGGTCAGATATGCACAAATTCGCTCACTTCTGGGCTTACCTGTACAGAGACCATGGTACTTTTTTAGACACAAAGCTTCTGAAAGGGATCCAGAAGGAGCTTAGGGATGAATCATCATTTATAACCCAGGAATCTGGCAACTGAATCTCTCTTTCCACCTACAAGCCTCTGGGGAAGGCAGATTTTCAAATAGGTGCCTTCCCTCCAGCTCACTATAAGCCACAATGTTCAGGATGCCCACCACCTCCAGGTTGTGGATGTTTTGTCCTGGCAAGGATATCCTATGGTGGTGAAGGGGAAGTAGGTGGTGCTGGTGATGACAGAGTATGACAGATGAGCCTTTTGCTTGGGGCAGTGGGGGTGTGTGTGTGTAGGACTGGGTGACTCTCCTGTCCAAAGGGCTTTCCCTTGGCCAAACCACTCCCCAAAGCCCAGAAAGTACACAGCTTGGCACCCAGCCTGAGAGAGCATTCCTCAGGACTACGACAGGCTGGGGGATGGTTCCCACCATAAGAATGGGGGACGGAAGGAAACTAGCAGGGAAGGAAATGACCACAAAGCTTGAGAGGTGGGCAGTTAGTTCCTAATGACATGCGTATTTTTTGTTTTAGAGAGGAGGGCTGAGAGTTGATGCCTTTCAAGGACCATGCAAAGGGTCTGTAGTCTTAGAACAGGTGACCCCTGGGTCACCTTTCCGCTCAGGGTCATCCCTGATGTCCCAAGTTGTCCTCTAGAGGCTCCATAGCTTGCTTACTTTCTCATTCCCTTATTCTGGGGCTGTGGTTGAGCTCGGGAGCCCCCGAGTGGCTAAAAACTGGCACTGCAGTTGGGCTGGGGGAGGAGCCCATCTAATCTCCAGCTGCCCCTCCACCTCGCCCCTCCCTTTTCTTCCCACTAAGCTCAGAACTCTGGAAATAGCACCTGGTAATGGGAGCGCTGACAGATGCTGAGTTATAGGAGAGCAAGTGTCCCGGTCAGAGTCCTCAGTCTTCTATCTTGATCTTTTGGGGGCTGTCTCCATTGAAAGTTGGTGCCTTGGGGATATGGCTCAAGCGGTAGCGCGCTTGCGGCCTGGGTTCGATCCTCAGCACCACATACAAAGATGTTGTGTCCGCTGAAAACTAAAAAATAAATATTAAGAAAAAAAAAAAAAGAAAGTCGGTGCCTTGGGAATCCTCCCATCATGCATTGCTCCTTATCATKCCCCTAGTTAATGTGCTGTTTGTCTACCATGAGTTCTCCCTCTGTGGGCTCCAAAGCTTGTAGCTCTTGGGCCATCTGCTATTCATGACCCCTGTGACGTTGGAGGATAAATGGCCCCATGATAATTCCGAGTTTAAATTTATCCTTCCCTCCCCACTCGACTTATACCCTACTTTTTTCCCCCCCTCTAAGCATCACAATTCCTTTCAGCATGTTCCATAACCCCCAACTCCCTATATAACTCTTTAACTCCACATCTCATGTAGGGTGAAAATGGACAAAGTCTATGTCAAAAATTTTCCTAAGCAAACTCATTCCCTCTTTTTGGCTTCATTTGACCTATTTTCTAGCTTTTCCTGGTTAGCTCCCTTGTTCTGTACACTCCCACTGGATTAATTTTTGCTGCCTAGTCCACTCCTTCTTCCTCTAACACTATCTCCTGCCTGCTCTTTCCTTCCAGGGCAAATGTTCCCCAGTACTGGAAGAGGGAGAGACACTGTTTTAGAAGTAATCTGTCATCTACACGGAGAGAACTTCTTAGGGAAGGGGGTGGTGATGGAGGCCAGGACCAGCTCACCCACCCCAGGAAAGGCCCTGTATCACTCAGCCCATAATTAGGGAACTCTTGGCTCTTGTCTGGTATGGGAGGATCTGAGCTCTCTGACAACAACATGAAGAACTCTAGGGGAAATGGAGTTAGAGTAGAGGTAACAAACTTACAGTTAGGGAATTAAAAACTTTACCCAACTCCATCCCAGTCTTGTTTTCTTTSCTATCCCTTCTCTCAAACTGTCTCTTTTTCTGGAGGTTGGGGTGGGGAGGAGGAATGCTGGGGATTGAACCCAGTGCTTCAGCAACATGCTGTCTACCACTGAGAGACACTCATGGTCTGTCCCATCTTTTAGTTGTGTAATTCTTTGATTGGCCAGGAAACTGTGAGGATATGAAATCTTTACGCCCAGGCAGCTGCATTCCTCTATTGTACTCCAGCCCTCAACAACCCCACAGGATGCTGCCCCACAATCATCCTGAAGGGGGCACTTCTGTTCGGTCGTTAAGGTGGTGCCAGCTAAAAGGAGGCCCCAGGCAGGAAACATAACAATTGATCACGTGTTGGGGGTGGGGGTTCTCGCAGGGGCTGCTGGGACAGGGAAGGGAGGTCCACGTGGAGTGGGCGGGACGCGCTGAAAGTTTTGGCGGGGCCTCGGGACAGAAAAATAGCCAAATTTGAGTTGTGATTTTATTAAAAAAAAAAAAAAAAGGGGGGGKGCGGGGTGGGCAACAGGGAGTTGTGCCTTCCCCTCGGAGGGGCCCTCACAGAGGGGATAAGGGGAGAAACATACGAGCATCCTGATCGCGGAGGCCTGCTGGAACGCAGGGCAAAGTTTCTGCCAGAAAGAGCTCTGAGCCCGGCCAGGCTTTGGAGCCGGAAGCCGTATGGCTCCATACTGGTTTTCCATCCCCCACCCTCCCAGAGAAGGGAAAGGTGGCCTCTCAGGCTGTGGTCTCTTTCGTTCGTGGCTGGCATTAGCCCAGCCCCTCAACTCCAGTCTTTATTTACCTTTCCAAGAGCCTCAGGAAGCCGCCCAGATGAATTCTCTCTCCCTGGGATGGAGCCAAAACAAGTCTCTGCTTTTTAAGACCTAGTTCTGCCCTGTTAGCAGGAAAATACAGCTTTATAGTCATAAAGCTGGAAGAGACTTTAAAGGTGATCTATTTAAATTTTCTTTTGAGTCTGGGAAAACCAAGTTCAGGCAGGTAAGAGGGTTCTCTACATACTCTTTCCACACCACAGCCATTCCTTTCAAAGAATGGAGTTCATGGAATTCTGTCATTCTTCTTAAGCCTGGGAAGGGTGGTTAAAGTTGCTTTAACTCTCTCCACACCATTGGCCAGAGGGCAAAAGGAGTGGTCATTACCGGTAAAGTAGAAGACTATTTAGGGACTTGATTTATGAGTCCTAAACCATTTTCTTAGGCTTCCTAACAGCAACTCCACATTCTCCCTCTTGGCCTTTACTCTTTGAAACCTGATTTCCTCACATAGCTTAGTTCAGACATAACCAGTTTGAGATCTATTTGGAAGAATTTCCTACTCAGAAGACTTCCCTTCAGGTTTTCAGTTTTGGGGGGTGGTTTATCCAGGTTATCTTAATATTTGAGATGAAGATAGGACCTCCAACTCAAAAAGTTCCAGTTTTAGTTTTGGGGGAGAAAAAGTAGGGTTGCTTAGTTTGGAGCAGTGAAACCTGGACTCTGTATTTCAGAGATCTTACGTTCACTATTCACCAGGGTACAGGGGTGGAAGGGAGTTGAGGACTGATGTTGGATTGCCAGCTTTTTACTTTGCCAATAAGGGCTTTTTTTCTTTTTCCTTTCTTCTTCCTCTTTGTTTTTTAAACCTTTTACTTATTTATATATGGTGCTGAGAATTGAACCCAGTGGCTTACACATGGCTAGGCAAGTTCTCTAACACTGAGCCACAAAACCAGCCCTGCCAATAAGGATATATAAAAACTACCATGCCTGTAATCCCAGGTACTTGGGAGGCTAAGGCAGGAGGAGGATCACAAGTTTGAAGCCAGCCTGGGCAACTTAGACCCTGTATCAAAATAAAAAAAATAAAGGGCTGGGGATATAGCTTAGTTGGTAGAGTGCCCTGCCTTGCATGGGTTCAATCCCCAGCACCACAAAAAAACAAAGGAAAACAAAAATTAAAAGAGGGGAGTTAGGGATGTAGCTCAGTGGGAAAGTGCTTGCCCAGCAAGCATGAGGCCCTGGGTTCAACCCCCAGTACCACAAAAGTAAATAAATAAATAGATAGATAAGAATACAATAAGAGAGGCATGAGGGCACATACTGGTAATCCCAGCAATTTAGAATTCTGAGGCAGGAGGATAGTGAGTTCAAGACCAGCCTCAGCAATTTAGCAAGGCCCTAAGCAATTCAGTGAGAACCTGTTTCTAAATAAAATATAAAAAGGGGCTGAGGATGTGGCTTAGTGCTCCTAGGTTCAATCTCCAGTACAAACACAGAACAATCCCCCACCTCAAAAAAAAAAAAAAAAAAAAAGCAAGTAAATAAATAAATAAAATAAACAAATAAATAAATAAGAAGAGCAGGGGTGTAGCTCAGTGATATAGGGCCACTGAGTTTAATCCCAGTACTGCAAAAAATAAACTAACAAAAAATCTATCACCATCAATTGCTGTTTATTATTATCCTTTCACAAAAGGAAGTACATTTTAACATACACAAAATAGAAAGTTTATCATTTCAATAACAGGTCATTCATTCAACATTGATCCATAATGGGTACTAAATAATGCTACTCCCCCATTTTGCCTTAGACTGGCTCCAGTTTAGTTCCTCCATCTCTAAATCAAGTGGGGGCAGCCTGAAGACCAAGTCCAGACCAATATCTTTTTTTGTCCCACAAGATAAGAATTTTTCTGTAAACATTTGTTGGTACTAGGGATTGAACCCAGGCTCTTGCAGTGTTAGGCAAATGCTCTACCACTGGGCTACATTCACAGCCCTTGTTATTTTATTGTGAGTCAGGGTCTCTTTGGCTAAATTGCCCAGGATGGCCTTGAACATGTGATCCTCCTGCTTCAGTTTCCTGAGTAGCTGAGACTATGATGTGTACCATCAGGTTCAGTTTAAGAATTTTTTTTCTTTTTTTTTTTTTTTTTTTGTACCAGTGATTGAATTCAGGGGGACTCAACGACTGAGCCACATCCCCAGCCCTATTTTGTATTTTATTTAGAGGCAGGGTCTCATTGAGTTGCTTAGTGCTTCACCTTTACTGAGGCTGGCTTTGAACTGGAAATCCTGCCTCAGCCTCCTGAGCCACTGGGATTACAGGTATGCACCACTGTACCTGGCGACAAGGATTTTTAAGTATTTGGAAAATTTAAAATAATTCATGACATGAAAATTACATAAAATTCAAGTTTCATATAGTAAAGTTTCATTGTACAATGGCCATACAGATTATTTTGAGGCTGTTTTTGCACTACAGTGGCAGAGTTGAGGAATGAAAAAAAGACCCTCTGGCAGTCAAAGCCTAAAACAGGCTTTTCCTTCAAGAATAAGTAGGTTGGAAGCCACATGCCTGTAATCCCAGTGACTTGAGAGGCTGAGGCAGGATTGCAAATTCAATGCCAGACTCAGCAACTCAAAATTTTAAAAAAGGGCTGGGGATGTGCTTCGGTGGTTAAGCACTCCTAGGTTCAATCCCTGGTACCAATAAACAAACAAACAAAAGGTAGGAGCAGGGTGCAATGGCACATACCTATAATGCCAATAATTTAGGAGGCTGAGGCATGAGGATCACAAGGTAGAGGCTGGCCTGGGCAATATAGCAAAACTCTAAAATAGAATAGGGCTGGGGATGTGGCTCAAGCAGTAGCACGCTCGCCTGGCATGCGTGCGGCCCRGGTTCGATCCTCAGCACCACATACAAACAAAGATGTTGTGTCCGCCGAAAACTAAAAAATAAATATTAAAAATTCTCTCTCTTTAAAAATAAATAAATAAATAAAATAAAATAGAATAGACCTGGGTGGTGACACATCCCTATAATCCTAGTGACTCAGGAGGCTAAGGCTAGAGAATTGCAAGTTCAAGGCCAGCCTCAGCAATTTAGAAAGACTGTCTCCAAAATAAACTTTGTGGTAAAGCATMCCTGGGCTCAATTCTCAGTACTAAAAGATAAAATAAATAAAAAAGTGCTGGGGATATAGCTCAGAAGAAAAACTTCCTGGATTTAATCCCCAATACCAGATAAACCAAACAAACCACTATACATGTTTCATTTCATTAATTTTCAAAATAACCATCTAAGGTAAAGTACTATATTATAGTCATTTTACAGATAGGGAAATTAAGGTAGAGTTGGATAACACACTGCCAATAAACGTTGGAACTGTGATTGCTTCTTACAATTTCACATCTTTTCTCTTAACTGCGTAGTTTCCTACTTGCCATTCTATTGCCACTATCTATTTATTGACATTGGCACTTTACATTAATCACTTATCATCTCACATCTGGACTAATGGCCCTCAAGTTGGTCTCTGCTTTTCCTGAAGAGACACAGATATTGTAGTTAGCTTTCAGATCTAATCATTTTATACTTTGCTGAAAGGAAATCCTTCTGTGGTTCACCATGGCTGGCAAATTATACATTTCTTTCTTTTTTGGTACTGGGGATTGAACCCAGGGGGTGCTTAACCACTGAGTCACATCCCAGCTTTTTATTTTTATTTTTTTTTTAGCACTGGGGATTAAACTCAGGGGTCCTCAATCACTGACCACATTCCCAGCCCTATTTTGTAATTAGACACAGGGTCTCACTAAGTTGCTTAGCACCTTGCCATTGCTAAGTCTGGCTTTGAATTTGAAATCCTCCTACCTCAGCCTCCTGAGCTGCTAGAATTACAGGTATGCACCACTGCTCCCAGCTAGCCCTATTTTTTTTTTTTAAAGAGAGAGTGAGAGAGGAGAGAGAGAATTTTTTAATATTTATTTTTTAGTTCTCGGCGGACACAACATCTTTGTTGGTATGTGGTGCTGAGGATCGANGAGAGAGAGAATTTTTTAATATTTATTTTTTAGTTCTCGGCGGACACAACATCTTTGTTGGTATGTGGTGCTGAGGATCGAACCCGGGCCGCAGGCATGCGAGGCGAGCACGCTACCGCTTGAGCCAC